AAAGAGCCTTACGTAATGAGCCATGTGTGGAAAATTTTAAAAATATGGTAAACATGTGGCACGCAAATAGTTTTTAAGAAATCGTCGAGTCAAGTCGTAAAGACGTACAATCGTTATATCGATTCGTGCCTGCATTAATTTTGATCAGCATCTTCTACCAGTGCACATAACTGTTAAATTCGATGAATTTCGCTTTTTTTGAACAACAATAACAGTCCTTAATTTAATATTATTGAGATGTTTAGTGTATGCAGACGCTAATCAAGGAACACTGAAAACTTATTCATCATCCATTCACTCGTTGGTTTTATTTGCATTCGGCGCTTTTCAGGCAAAGAAAGAAGAGTTTTTCGTGGCGTATTGTGGCTGGTGATGAAGAGTGGATCTATGAAGGCAATCCCAAGCACACAAAGTCGTGGTTTTGTCCATAAGAGCAATCCACATTGATGCCGAAACGGAATGCAAGTGATAGTCTATTACGAGCTGCTAAACCCGTATGAAATTCTTCCTGCGGTTGTCTACCGGCTTCATTACACCTAAGTGAACGATGTACTGTCGCAAAAAAACAGAATGAGGGACTAAAATAACTACTACACGAACTGACAGAAAATGTCATTTTGACCGCTTGTTGCAAGAGTTGTCGAGGCTACATTATTGGAGTGCATATACACAGCGGCTTCTGGATACCACTTGCTCAGATCGAGGCAGCATGGTATGGCTGGCACGTAGGTCCGCAAAGTTAAAGTAGTGCGAAAATGGGGCCCTGCCGACCCCATACAAGTTCTTTCGACAAGGTATAGCCATGTTCCCAGAACGATTCCATATTACTAATTTTTCTCAATAAATGCCCTTTCAAGTGAAAAAATGATCGAAATTATTGCGAGTAACTAGTGTTTCGCTTACTTTTACTATTAATTCTCTACATTTAGTTGATCGTGAACTTGAATTACTTTACAATAAACATTAATTTAATTTCTTTAATTCCAATAGTAAAGATATTTGCAATAGTTTGATCCGTTGTCAACGGTGCAAAAAGTAATAAGATATGAACAATTACGTGTCATCGGCACACAAGGGTTTCCATATTCTGATAAACCTTCTATGCTGTGGGATCGGCAAAATAAATTCACCTGATCCAAACGCAGCGCGGTTCATATCTTTATCAGTTTACTATCATTTCCTCATAAAACTCATTTTCACCATAAAAATTAAAAAATTTTACTTTTTTACTATATAAAGATTCAGTTTTCGCAGGAACGGTCGTATGGAAGAGTGTTCAAAAAATTTCCCTAGCCGATACAAAGTTTTCACCTCAACTTAGAATGCCGAAATATTATTACTTAGCCACTTTTGTCGAGGAATGTTAAATATTTCAATTTTCTCCGCAAAGCAATTGTTTAGAATAGGGCGTTATATGGGAAGTTGTCAAAGTGGACCGATCGAAATGAAATTACTCGATAACTGCAAAATAAAGGAACAAATAAATCTGAAGGACCACGGTCACATCGAAATTAATCGAGAAGATGAAGAGACGCACAATCGCTTGCAAGTCGAAATGAAGAATAACATACACAACAAAGGAATTATCGCATTCCTGGAGTGAAAGATGGCAAAAGCCAACAGTTGTCATCCCTCAATTCATGGATCTTTTCACGAATAGTTTCACGCAAGCGACGCACAACACTTAAATAATATTCCTTACAAACTGTTTGGCCCGTCAAAAGGAATTCATAGTGCACAACACCACTATAATCAAAGAGAACTGTTTTTTAGAAGACCTTGGCGCAGTTTGTTCGATCCCAGCTCACCTTTTGCATGATATTCGATCGATTGATCGGCTCTTCCCGGGTCATATGCGTAGATCTAAATCTCATATTTCGTAGTAATACGTTTCATGACCGATTTATATTCAAAAGTCCTCTCCTCACAGATTTTGATGCGACACGCTTTTCCGAGACATTTTTAAGACTTCGAATATCTTTTAAAATACCGTTGACTGTTTTGTAATACCAAAAGCATCAGCAAGCTCCCCAATTGTTTATGGATGGTTTTCGGGTACCGGGTAACTTTGATTTATTTAACGTGAATTTCACCGGTGAAGCTTATCGGCCATCTTCAATCCGTTCTCGGCCATCTTTGAACTATTTCTACCATTTGTAAATATTTCTTTTCGGCAAAGTCTGCAACATCCTAAATGGGTTTGCACAAGAAAATCGCGCAAAATAAAAAGTGGAAAAAAATTCTTTTTGTGTCGTTCAAAACCAAGCGCAACTGAAGGACTACTGAGGAATTGCGATGTGAAATGTGGCACAGATACCCGTCACATTTCTGATATTCGCGCAATTTAGCCTGAATATTGGTCTTACTTTTTGGACGCTGTAATCTAATTTTGAGTTTATTGTAACAAAGATGAATGAATGACTTTATTAGCGGAAGCGATGCATCGAATAGTCGACCTCTACCGACTATAGCGTTCTAACTTCTTCTATTTCTAATCAGTTCTACTCCAAAAAAAAAAGGAAAAAGATTTATAATAACTTCGTTGATATCACAGTGAATGACTATAAGTTTTCTCTGTGTTTGTTCCACAAAATTTCATATGGGAGAATGTACTTAGCCCTATTAGTAAAGGGAAAAATAAGAGTAAGTTGCAGATTAAATCTATTAATAAAGAATACGAAAATCAACAAAACGAAAACAACAAAGCGAAGAAGAACATCAGGACAAACATTAAAATGTAACAGACATCCACATACTTACAAACATTGTATAAAAAAAAAATTTTTTTTTTTTGATTTTTCAATCTTATTCGCATTTCTCTCATTTTTTCCTAAATTAACTACGAAAAAAAATAAAAAAAATTATAATAATTTATTTTCCAAATTTCTTAATTTACTTACCAAAACAATGTAAACAAAAAAAAAAAGAATAACAAGCGTTAAATTGCGAAAAGCAAAGAGATTTGTAAAAAAAAAAAAAAAAAAAACTTGAGAAAAAACCAAAAATAAATCCTTTGACAATCGAAAATCAATGAAAGAAAAATTACAAAAAAAAAGAGAAATAATAAATAAAATAAAACTAAATTGAAAGTGAAGTGAATTTCACTTAAAGCGAACGTATGGTTCCTTTTTATATGGAGGTTTTCAATTGGTCCTTCTATCTATTCATGGTTATATTTGTAGCGACATTATTAAAAGTATAAAAACTGACGAAAAGTAAAAGACGAAGAAATTCAAATAAAAATTCAATTATTTTTCATTTCCAGGTATTTATAAGAATCTTATGCATGCCGCCTGAAGCAACAAATCGAGCACAAGCGAGTGTATGGTTAGCGCGGGGTAAGTGTTTTATTTTTTTCAATTTTTTTTTTTTTTTTTTTTTTCTTTTTGAGCGTATACGAGAGATGATCTAATTCGCGTTGCATTTCGTTATAAGAGCGCATATAACACAAGAAAAAAAGATAAAAAGCAATTAATTAAAGCTCGGGAGTAAGAAGAAGAGTATATGTAATCTTTTGCTGAAGAATATCTTAGATTAGATAACAAATAAAGAAAAAAAAAAAAAAAAACGATCCCATCAAATGGCGTATTTCGCCATAGAGCAGCAGAATAGTTTCAAAATATATTTCAAATTCAATTTATAAGTTTTAACATTTTAATTAATTAATTATTTTTCAAGTGCTCGGGAATTTAAAAGTGACTAATAACGGAAAAAGTTTTATTGTTTATTTTCTTTTACTTTTTTTTTTTTTTGCTTTTGATCTTTTTTTCCTCTTTGCGGGCTTATTTTGATCATGTATATCAGTGACATAATCTATTTAATTTTTTTAATGATTTTATTTCTTATAGTAAGTGAGTTTGTTGCACTGTAAAAAAAAAAAAAAAAAAAAAAATTTTTTTTGTAATATATTTTTTTTTATAAAAAAATTTTTTTTGTAATATATTTTTTTTTATTTTTCCTAATATTGTTTACCATTAATTTTATAGATAATTTACAAAGGTTTTCATTTTGGCGCCACGGTTAATACCGATAGGAGTCACAATTTTAACACCATACGTGATACGTTATATGGACGAGGTTTGCTATGCATTTACATATATATGGATAAAGATATAGACATAAGCGCATATTCCATCCTTTATACGCTCAAGCTATGGTATACATATATATATGTATATAGGTATAAGTATGTACTCCTCTCTCCATATCGTGGATGTTTGCTATACGTATACACATGTACATATATATATACATATATATTTCATTCCATTGTTCAAAAATATTTATAAAGTCATCGTCGCATGAATATTACACCGAAACGATTAGCTTTACCTACCCACCAGATAGCTATAGGATATATGGGGTTGCGTCTTTGCTAAAAATGCCTTCGCTAAGTAAAAAAAAACGAATAAGGAATAAGTATGACGGCCCCTTATACCTTCGTACAAATAACAACGAACACGGTCCCTTCTTTTTGTAACCGATGGACTAAGGTCATGCCAGTGATGCGAGAAATTTTTAGTGTTGTCGAAAAACCCTATAATTTTTTTTCATTCTATTGAACTATTTTCAACTGGCATTTCTTTTTTTTTCTTTCTTTCGTTTTTGTTTATCAAAATTTTCTTGTTATTTCAAAATTTTTTGTTTATGTTCGATTTTTGTAAAACATTTCTTAAAAGCAATTAATGAACGGTTTTTATTATTTTATTATATTTATAACGATAATATTTTTGGTCACATTAAGTGTAAGTCGCGTGTATATGCCATTGTTCGAAATCTTTGAATCTTTCCTTTCTATTCACACTCTAGTGGTCGATAAAAATTCTAAAATTTACGGAATTATCGTTTTTGTATGCATTCTATGATGGTTTACCAACTACATTCAGGCAATGGGAATTCTTACGTTCCCAACCAGGTCAGTTGTGTGTGTGTGTATTTTTTCTTTCGTTGTTAATCAAAATTATTTAATGAATCTGAGAGTGGAACAAAATCAACAATTAAGCTTAAGATTTGAATTATTTTACATCATTACAATCTTCGAGAGGACGACTTAGCTTTTAAAGTTAGTATCTGTTGTAAGGCATGAAATTAGTTAATGTGATCAATTTATAAACTTACTTTATGTCCTATGGGCAAGAATTTTTAAAAGCTTTTTATGCCACACATCATAAGTTTTGACGGATGCATGTAATACCCAGAAAGGTGGGAACATATTATTTGTTCGTCAAACGTGTGCTTAATGCTGTATTAAGCTATTGAAAAGCCCTCTGAGATAGGCTCTATAATAAATTTTTTTTTTTTTTTTTTTAATATAACCCAGCACTCAGGGGTGGTATTCTATTCGTGTTGTAGCGTGAAGTTCAGAAAGAAGATGTGAAAGGGAAAGACACGGGAAGTGAGAGGACGGCTGCCTGGTGAGTATGTGACCAATCGGTAATGCGGTCACTAACTGAGCACGATTCTGACCTGCTCGTCTACGAGGCAGTTCGAAAGCGTAAAAAACTTTCAATGGAAAACTTATACTTAGCTAATATCCCAGGCAGGAGAGAAGATTTTGTTAACAAAATCAAAAAGAGTGGAGAACAAAAAAAACCGCTCTGAAATTTAAACCCGGAAAAACCGACTTGACAGCCATGACTCTTATCTACTCGACTGTCCGTGAACGTAAAATACTTTTAACGGAAAAGTTTTAGACTGTGCTAAACTGAAATAGTTTCGGTAAAATTTCAGGCAAGAAATAAACAGTTTATCACGAAAATTTCAAAGGGAACAAAAGAAAAATTCATATATGTTATTGCATGACTCTCAAAATTTCAAATCCAATCGCATTTGTAATTTTTGTAATTCACTTCAATTTCTCCTAATTTAAAGTGAATTTATACTTTTTCAAACTTCTGAAGCGATTACGAACTTTTCTCTGAAAACGTTGCCTACAGGAGGGCTTGTTGTTTTTAAATTTTTGCTGCCCACGTTTTTGTGCTTTAGTTTTTTAAGTACTTCCCTAAATTACTTCTGTCCATTAGAGACTGCCAGAAAGAAAGAGTGGAAAAAGAAAGAAATAAGGAGGTGGTGGCCACAGCATAGCGATGGTTGCCCGATCAGTAAGTGATATGCCTTTACCGACTGAGCACTTACCATAGCTACGAGGAAAGAAAATTCTACCGCACTTGATACATGAACTCATGAACACTGACTTGGTGCTCGTGACTCTTACCTATTCGCCCACTCAGGCGGATAATTTGCGGTACAAGCGTATGATAAATTTTTGAAAATGCATGAAACACTTAGAGCGACTAGAGATAGACTCACCTTTTATTATACTGATCGATTCAGAATCAATTTCTAAATCGATTCCGTCTTGTACTCCACCTGCAGGTCGAACCTTTTGAGATACTGTCATGAGACTTGGTACACCGGTTAATTTTCGCCCAAGAACGAACGCTATTGAAAGCGATACGAATCCGATCACTTTTCGACCACTTCTCAGTTAACGCCTTACTTGGACAACTGAAGGTATTTAATAGCGCAACGTAACCCTCTACAATGTTTTTACTTGTTTTTAAAGCACTCTCGGGAGCTGTCCACTAATTTTTTTTTGAATTTTCTTCTATCATGCAGAGATTTAATCGATTTCTATTCTTTTTTCAATCAATCGATACGTGCACGAATTCACTGTTGCAAAAACTGAGAACTTGTGATTATTCGCAAGCGGGGCACTGTTATGACTGCATATTATGGCTGCGCTATTAGCTGCTAATCAAATTTTTTCATATCATTGATAAACAGTTGTTTTACAACCACAAACACAAACGTAAGACCCGCGACAATATTAATCAAACTCAATTCAATTCGATTCAATTTGTTTTTACAAAGTGAACCCGCGCGTCATCACACACCCGATCGCTGCATTACAATGTTGTTGATAGAATTTTAAATAAATTTAAAAATTTTTGCAATAATTTTCTTTTATCGTTATGCATGACTTAGTTACAATGATTTTCTACCTCTTATTAATACTAACAATTATGCTAATAATGCGTGTAAGTGAATAAACCAAAAAAGAGATAAAAGAGAAAGAGAATAGAAAAACAACAAAAAAAAAAAAAAAAAACTAAATTTAATTATGTTATCTTTGTGTAGAGTTTGTTTAATTCTGCTTGCGCTAAGCCAAAGAACGAAAGAAGTTTTCAATATCAACGCCAGGTCATCAGAACAATACGCATAGGTTCCCGGGAAAACGTAGGGACGTTAGACCCAGGTGAGTGAAGTGAGTGTTGCTTAAGTTTTTATTACGCCAAACAGAAAAAATTTAAACAAGCAAGAAAGTTATAATGGACGGGATCCGAAACTCGCATACCCACAACGATGTTTTTTTGCATTCTATCCTCGCAAGTTCGATACCCATAACGCTGTTATTATTCAGAAAAAATTAATCGATCAGGCCGCGGTGTCTAACATATTCGTACCCATCTTTAGGCAGGTAATGTATCCTCATTTGAGGAATGTCTTGCTTGCCTTACGATAAGTAAACATAAAGCCTCAAAAAAGTTAGAAAAAAAAAAAAAAAAATTAAATTTAATCACTTGTAACTTTGAAAAAAAGGAGCTGCGTTCAATTTATGCTCTCCACTGCGAGCTTAAGGTAGACTTAACCAATTTGGCCCTTTTCCATGACCAATCTGCGCACAAAAACTTTTAATGTTTCTATCAACTTGGAAGTCGACAACACGCATCCCACAGATGGACAGAAATAGCTTAACTAATTCAACACCTCATGTTGCTCAAGAAGCTTTCTCTTGAGCATGTTGCATGCATTATGGAAAAAAAGATAATGAATATATATATATATATATCTTCATTCTGCGGTGATGGATATAAAAAATAAAAAATTTCTTGTCATAAAAAGTAAACTTTCGTTAAATTAACTTTACCTAAACTTGATATTCTTTTTTTGTTTGTTTAGTTGATTTTAGCTATATTCGGAAATCTTATCACTTAGCACTACAAAAAAGCCATGCAATTTAATTTATACCTTTCCTAGTTATCTCATCTAATTAAAAATAAATGTATATTAACAGCTTGATTGTATCAATATAGACATGAAAAAAAAAAAAAATAAATAAATAACAAGAAAACTATATTCGCCTGAAGCTGACCCTTATAAAGCCACAATCATTCACTTAACATAATAACTGTCCTTCATCCAATTTTACCCATTTTCAGTATTGACTTGGGGGCAAGCATTTCCCGCAATGTTTCTATCAACGAGGAAGTGGACAAATTCATTTTTGCGAGCAGGGAATTGTCGACAACATGTACCATAAGGACGAACAGACATGGCTATGTCGATTCACAATTTGATACTGATCAAGTATATAGAGATAGGTGGATAAGAAAATAGGTGTATGTTGTTTTGTGTTGTTGTGTATTTCTCTATTTAGAGTAGGAACATTTCCATATATATAAAAATGTTTTCGGAATTATACATGTTAAGTACAAACAGAAACCTAGAAGGAGTTTAGCTCGAAAATATTACCTGTTTCCAAGTGGACTGTAAAATAGGTCTCTGTACGGAAACTTGAAAAAAACGCAATATTTGGTATTTACAGATAACCATTTTTTATAGAAATCAAGTTAGACAGTCGATAGCCGATATAACCATCATTATTTTAAGGATTGCTTCGACTCTTCGGGGCATTGATTAAAATAATTTATGGCAAGTCTCTCTCTCTCTCTCTCTCACTCTCTCTCTGTCTCCATACTTTTTGAGCATTTTCTCATAGTTCTTGTTTACCACTACAGAAGACCTGACGCTTTAGTTTCCCCCAAAAAATTCTCAACAGGTTTGAGGTCGGGAGACTGATTTGGCTATTCAGTGATATGCAAGTTATGCCCTCGGAACCACGCGATTGCTTCGTATCATTATTCTGCTGAAATTTCTGTAGCACTTGCATATTTTCTTCTATCCACCTGTGTATATAATTTACGCCATTTATTATGAAGCTTTCTTCTGAGCGTTGTAAACGTTATAACAAACTGAGTACATCCCCAGAAAAACCTAAGTCATAGATAAATAAA